TAACGGAGAATCCGGTAAGTTTTCAAAATAAAACATCTTTCGTATTCAGAAATAAATAAAACGGAATTAAGGCAAGTTCTTTCTGTGCGGCCCGGTACCAAATGCCCGGCGGACCGGTACCGGTCCGCGGACCGGCGGTTGGGGACCCCTGCCCTACGGTGTAAGAGTGACTTCGTGTCATGGCCAAGTCTTAGGCCACCATTAGATGGGTACAAAATGTAACCGGTTCCTACTTGTCTCATGCGACATCCCTTTAAAAATTGTTGCTGAAATAGTTTTTTTAGGGGTGGGAGGGTGTAATCCTGATGGGTGTAAGTCCTAATATTTAATGTTTTAAACGTCAGCATGACTCTTGTGAATAAGCATCATAAAAACAACACTAGTGGAAGACCAACTGCAGTACATGCAGATGCATCTCAATAAATTAGAATATCAACATGTTGATGTCGTTCAATTCCAAAAGTGAATGCATAATACAGATGCATGAAACAATACTTTTCAAAAGACCACTTCTGAGCTGTTTCCTGATTTAACCCTTTCAGGGACAGGAGTTACTACAGGGGACAGCTTACGATTTTATCAGTCTACAGCAGCGGTCAGGAACCTATGGCTCGCGAGCCAGGTGTGGCTCTTTTGATGATTGCATCTGGCTCGCAGATAAAACAAAATATTCTCTCTTGATTAATCCATCCATCGATTTTTCACTGCTCATGTCCTGTTCAGGGCTGCAGTTGGCGGCAGGAGCAATTTTAATTGGATGATACTGGCTTACGTTATCCGTTGCTGGGTAAACAGGTAAACGCCCCCTTTTGAATCAGCCCCCTCGGTCATTAGCTCAAAGCTAATCCTTCGATGAATAAGATGGCGAAAATAAAAAAAGATGTATGGTACACTTCAGGACGAACTGATTCACCTTTGTGGAGAGAACAGGTTCTGCGGTGTGTCTAATTTGCAATGACAAAATACCATCGATGAAACGGTCGAATGTAAAGCGGCACTTTCACACGTGCCATGCTACGTTCGCATCAAAATACCCTCTGATTGAAATATATTTCCAAAAATTTTGCTTTCATAGCTCTCTTTGTCAAAAAGGTTCCCGACCCCTGGTCTACAGGGGACATGAAAGGGTTAAAAAAAACAACACATTTTGAAATTTCTCAATTGAATTTTATTTTTACAGTGGTGAATTTTTAATTTACATTTGCCACGAGTTACATAACGTATGAGTTTGACTTTTGGAATTGAACAACTGAAATAAATTACGTTTTCCGCAGATCGGGTAATTCAAATTTAGTGAGGTGCCCCTGTATAGACAGTGTATATAATAGACTTGAACTTGACTCGTTCTGGGAAAGTGACACCACAGAGAGTGTGAGAATAACTAAAATATATGTTGGTGAAGGATAAAATTTTAAAAAAGTTGTTCATTGATAAATATGGTGACATCCTATGAAACATTGACCAGACCATTCATGGAAATGTGATAGCTTGTGACCTATTCTGCAGCCAGAGAAGTATGCCTGTGAAGTGATGGATTCAGATGGATTCATACACAGCAACAGCCATAACAGGTCTTGCCACCGGGCTCACCCATATCGTAATTGTAGAAGTCATGGCTCAGAATAACTGTAAACTGTATGTGATGAGCATGGCCTGATTGTGCTCCTGTGGGCCAATGGCTATGACACCTCTGTTCTATGTGAACATAGCCTCCGTGTGTTTTCTTGCTGGCGGCTGGCCTCATTAGAATTTCACTTTTCTCCTCTCACCTTGTTGCGAGTGTTGTCTGATGGCCCCGCCAGCATTAGCGTTAATGTGAGAGCCAGCGGATACCGTGGTCGCGCGTGAGGTAGTCATGCATCTGCAGGCGTCGCTAAAAATTCTCCGCGATTTCAATAAGCGGTGCAATGAGGAATTTGCATTCATGAGATGAATCCACAATGAGAGGACAAGCCTCTGAAAACAACACCCCATGGTGATTCATTGCAGGTAGTGTTTTGGAATTTACCACTGTCTTGGCCACATCTCAATAAAACTGCACTATTAATGAATACAATCTACTAAAGCAGTGGTCCCCAACATTTTTTCTGCTGTAGACCGGTTCATACAAGTCCATACCCTGTACCGATAGCGCGGCCCAATCGTTGGGGACAATTGGACTAAGCCACAGAGACAATATTTCATCTTTGATCCATTTTCTGTACTGCTTATTGGGGTTGGGGGTGAGCTGGAGCCCCTCCAAGGTGACTTTGGGTGAGAGGCGGGGTACAAAACCATTCCAGGGGACAAATACACACTAAATGACAATATAGAGACTTCACTCAACCTGCCGCGCGCGCTTCTGGAAAGTTGGAGGAAGCCAGGCTACCTGGAGAAAATCCACACAAGCACTGCATTCGAAAGCATGGATTCAAACCCCCCAACCTCAGAACTGACAACAGAGTCCGATATGCTAACCACCTCTTGCCTGTGACGCTGCTTTTTTTGGCTCACAGTGCAGAGGTGCAGGGTTCGATTCCGGTGTGGAGTCTGCATGTTCTCCCTGTGCTTGCGTGGGTTTTTTCTGGGTAATCCGGTTTCCTCCCAAAAACATGCATGGCAGGTTAATGGAAGACTCTAAATTGTCCCGAGTTGTGAGTGTGAGCATGGATGGTTGTTCGTTTATGTGTGCCCTATGATTGGCTGACAACCAGTTCAGTCGGTGTAACCCGCCTACTGGCCGAAGACAAAACATGAAAACTCTCATAATTTTGTGCAGCAATAGTATACCCTGCAGTATATGAACTCAGTGGCGCAGCCAGTTGTTACTGTGACAGGCAGAACCTGTGGGCTGTGTGAATTTATGGGCAAGGTATTGTCACTTTTTTCCAGCAACCTCTGTACATCAGTGATGAAAGTCCCCCGGATTATCCCGGAATTCCGGGTTTTCAAATTTTCATTAAAATTCCTCTGGAAAATTGAGAAAAAATTGCCTAAAATTAATCCGGATATTAGTTGAGAACATTGAACGAATACGCATTTGAGTTCGTTGTTTTGCTTTCACGAGCGTAGCCACATTGAGGCACTAACACTAGTAACAGTAACACCCCTCCCTTCGCATTCTCATGGCCTCACCATATCTCGGAGATTTCGAAAATTTTGTCATGAACGGAAGCCACAAAGGGTTCACGTGTGCACACAAAAGGCAGATTAATCAATGAATGTCGAGTATTTGAATAGCGTTTTATGTAAACTAATTCATGTGTGATCGGCCAGGTATGGCCCCAGCGCAATGTTCAAACATGTAGACAGGCAAGCTGACATACGTGCAATCGACGGAACACGCTCAAGTTGTCATGGCTTGAGGAAAAGGACTTGAATGGAGATTTTTTTTGTCTGTCTATATTATTTTTTTGATATATATATATATATATATATATATATATTTTTTTTTTCCCCAGGAATTTTCAGGAAAGTCCACTTTCATCTCTGGTACATGAGCGCAAAGCCCTGCAGTCAAATATGTATATATTCAGATATCCGGTATTATATACTGTACTGTACTACATTAGCCCTGAAAAATATGACTCTCAATATTTGGTTGAATATTCTACAGCTCAAAAGACCGATTTGAAGTGCAATTTGCCAGAGTAATTGTTAGAGGATGAATTATTCATTGTAATGTATTTAGTGTGCATGTTTGATGAAGTTGGAATATCCGTATGTGACAAAATCAAGGCAGGTATTGATCCTCGTGTGGAAAATATGACTCGACCTTGTGTTAATATGTCAGCATATCAACCGGTCACATATTGTCACTATGATCTTGCAGTGTGACGGGTGAAATTAGTAGTGTGTGGATGCTCTTACTTGATTCAAGTCCTAACACGACCACATTTGCAATGTTTCCTGAAGCACTGTCTTTGAAACATCCACGGTAAGCACAAACTATGACCATTTTTCTCTGATCACTCTTTCACTCTTTTTCATTTTTTAATCTCAATGACATGTCAGCATGGATAATATGCTGTAACTCCGGAATAGGACCTTTTCTAATTAGTTGCGTGAGTCTTTCAATCGGCTCTAAAATGTTGATTAATGTTGCACTACTCTGATGTGCCGACAAAAGCAGATTTCAGGGACCGTGTCACGGCTAGTTGACATAACTGCAGCCTCAAACCACGTTCATTACTTTAATTAGTAGCCCGCTTGAGGAAGTGGGTCAGAGACGGTCCGGTTAAACGGTTTCCTTTCCTTCTCTTCTGATGCCGTTTGATGCGGGGTGACGGGAGGTGTTGACTTCAACGCCATCAAAGCTCCCTCTCATTTGCCAGAAAGACACAATCAAGTGGGTAAGAGTGAGTAAGATACAAGGATGTCTCATCAGGAAACACTGTCCAGGTCGGGAAGACTTCACTATTTGATGCAAACGTTGGCCTTATGCTGACATGTTAAAAAAATAAATGTATAAAACAAAAACATTTTGTGCAAATGCTGTGTTCAAGACCGCTAGGATGTTGGAAATTTCTCCTCTTGGAAATGACAAGGTCCAACCTCAATTGTGGTGAATTCTTTCTAAGAGAATACGAACGGATAGATGATTGTGAATTGGGCGTTTCTGCATCTCTTCCGATCTTCCGAACGACTTCAAGCAGTGTTCTAATTCACTTTGCATAATCGGAGGTCAGAAATGTCCAACTATGGGAAAGAAGCATATGCAAATAATTGTCCTAATAATTTACACAGTACGTAATGCTGTTTGTATTTCCCAAAAATGTCACACTTTTTTTCCTCACAATATTATCAAATTAAATGTCTGCTTAGTTGATTGATATTGTCATATCATAAAGGGCTTACAGTGCACATGATTCAAGAGTTGACAAAGAAAAGACTATATCTAATCTCATTGTCGTCGACATTTCGGAGCTACATCAACAGGATTTAGATTCTCCTCACTTGTAGCATGACACCATTTGTTCACTTGATCGCTTAAATACTTTTCCTATGCTATTTTTTTTTTGTTTTTTGTTCCAAACAAGAAACGACTCTGTCAATTTTAATCCAGAGACTCTGCTGTTAAATCAACTGAAGTGACAAGATAAACAGTCACTCTATTTTCCAATAAAAAAAAAACATCCTCCTTGTAGGGTAATTTACAACAACAACCACTGACATCAATTGTAAAACTAGTGTGGCTATCCTGTATGGTTACAAGTTTTTATGACACTCTGGAAACACCAGGAACATTCAGTGAGTAGCCCCCCCAAACGAGATACAAGCACTGAGGTAATTACAGATAGAAATTGTTCAAATAAAGACTAGTAGTGTTTACTTTGGATTTTCTGTAAAGGTGAAAAGATATTGGGCTCCAAATCCAGTTTTTTTTTAAGTGCCAGTATAATTAACACGGTATGTAAAAGAAAACCAAATAGAAGAAGTTCAGAATGCAAAACAGGCATGTGAGTGAATAACATCAGAGTGCTAAGAGACAATTCAATTCCTCAGTGCCCAAACAACATTAGTAATCTTGTGTTTTCAAATAATAGCTTTTTGATGGGCGATGCTTTAAAAAAAAAAGAAAAAAAAAAGACAAATTTTTGAAAAAGAAATTGGGCGTGTCAGAGCAGCATTCACAACAATATGAGCAACGTGATTGTATCATCGAGGGCAAAACAAACACAGATGACGATTGTGATCGATGGCTCGTATAACAGTCAAATAAAGTTTTGAAAGTCTCAAACGACTGCAACACTTCTCAGGGCGCACAAGTATAAACGTCGGCTATGTACATTGTCTCCTAGTCGGTGTGCATCTAGAACACAACATCTGAGCACAACATACAATAAATTCGGGGTTTCACCTTTGGTTATGTATTCAGCAAGGCTAGGTTTAAAAAAATAGAGAACACACGTTCATGTTACTTTGCATACACTTAAAAGTGGAAACAAGTCAACAAAGCAGCTGGTCCGTTTGTTGTTTTCATCTGAGAGCAACCTAAGGTGTAGTGTCTTTTCAGAGAGGGAATCTTGGCTAGAGTACTGTAGAGTTCCATCCATCATCTGGGACGGCAGCTGTGCGACAGATATTTATGGTCGGGTTTATGTGCCTGACATCTTTGTTTTAGTGAAAGTGGATGTTAATGCGCTCGACGACGTGACGCCGATGCATCTTCCGGCCTTAGAAACTATTTATCAATGAGAGTTGTAACGTTAGGACACAACTTGGGCGAGGGGAAAACTTTGTTGCCAGCTTTTGAGCGACTCAAGTCAGCCTTGTTTGGATGACAGTACCAAAGAAGAGCAAGACAGTAAGTCGCACGGCCGGCCGCACGTAGGCAGAGCAAAAAACTTGCCATTTTCACATTAAAACCAAATACTATTCTCTCCCATGTTAAAATGTTCACACCTTTTGCTTACGAGACATTTTTTTTCCACGTGTTAAGAAAACATCGTAGTCTAAGTCTCACAACGTCGCTTCGTACATCTGTAAATGTGTGGTAATTAAGGCAATCATTCTGGGCCACGGTTTATTCATTGACTCAACCCTGCAGGGTTTGTTTACCTATTTCAGAAAGCAGCGGTTCCACCCCCACATGCGCCCCTTGTTGTTGAGTCCCCTCCAGCTGTTGTTCTTCTTCAGTGTCCGCTCTTAGCCACCATCGCGGTCACAATGCTGTGTTGGTTCCCTGCCACTTCCAGAGATGCTGGGTTTACGCCCTGAAACTGGCAGAGCTGCAACACACACACACACACACACACACACACACACACACACACACACACACACACACACACACACACACACACGCAGACAAAGAGGAAATGACACAGACAAACAGGAAATGGGGTTTGAAATAGATTCAAAATACGAACAGTCTTGCGACAATTATGCCCCAGGTTATGCCTCGGCTTTCAGCTTCACGTCACCATCGCTCTCATTAGCTGCCAGCTCACACGTGAGCATTGAGGGAGCTTGAAATTCAAATCATTGTTTGAGGGCTGAGAAAACACGCCTTTAAAAACAGAGCGTGTGACGCTTTCTAAAAGGGTGGGATAGTCTTGGTTTTTAATACACCCTAACACTTTTGAAATACCATTCATCCATCAATTTTCTAATCCGCTCATCCTCACAAGGGTCGCGGGCGTGCTGGAGCCTATCCCAGCTGTCTTCGGGCAGTAGGCGGGGGACACCCTGAACCAGTTGCCAGCCAATCGTGGGGCACACATAGACTAACAACCATTCACACTCACAATCACATCTAAGGACAATTTAGGCTGTTCAGATAACCTACGGTGCATGTTTTTGGAATGTGGCAGGAAACCGGATAACCCGGAGAAAACCCACGCAGGCACGGGGAGAACATGAAAACTCCACATAGGGAGGCCGGAGCCGGAATCAAACTCTGCACCTCAGCACTGCAAGTCTCACGTGCTAACGGTTAGCTGGTAGACTGGTTAGCAGCTAACCAGTCTACCAGCTTTTTTTTACCGGCCTTTTGAAATACCGCTGAAATCAATATGATGGCATTGCAAAAATACAAACACTTTGCTACAATATTTTATGTGATGGATTAATAGGTGTTACTCCTACTTCCTCCATTCTTTGTCTTTTGTCAGAATTTACAAATAATTTTTTGGGGCTGTACCAAAAGATGTCTGTCTCGCCTAGTAGGATGTCTTAGTTTTGTTAGTTTGTTTGTTTGTTTTGTATTTTGTGTGTGTGTGTGTGTGTGTGTGTGTGTGTGTGTGTGTGTGTGTGTGTGTGTGTGTTTTCACAAAGGTACAAGTGATGACAGGCAAGTAACAAAAAAGTAGTCGCAACCGTCAAAGGTAATTTTGTTCCACGTTAATGTTAATTGTCAGAATGTCCATTAGCTATTATTAAACTTCTAAGCGGTACACACTTCACACAGATGTGAACAAAAAATAAACAAGAATACATCTTGACTTTGTATTTCTAAGTATCGTGAATCGAATTGTTCGAGAGTTTCATTCAAGTAATGTTAACATTGACAGCTGCAGAAAATTAAACATTCATCGTGGTTTTGTTTGAATATACGTTCTATATCGAGTGACATCACACTTTTGCGTGTGGAGAAGCTGAATGAACTTTATCACATCTTGCGCCAATGTAGAATGTGAAAGGTATAAGGAGTCAGGTAAGAGGCTGAAATAAAGTGCTGCAATTATTGATGCGGTCAATCGACATATATTAATGTACAGGCGGGTCATTGTTTCACTCATTAACCTGCTGATGCCAAACTAAAGCCAAAATTACAGTAAATACTTGTATGAAAACTGTCCTATGCCATGGCTGTAAAATAATCCAAAACAAAACGGGTGAAAAAATACAAGTTCTAGTGCCGCATGACAATTTTTTTTTTCTCGCGCCAATGCACAAACTAGTACTTCGCGCATGATGCGTACACTCAAATCGAATGCTGGTACCATCACCCTGTACAGAAAAGTATCGGCTTGTAGTCCTGCCATTTAATAAATGAGTACTTAAGCAGCAAATACAATCATAGCCATAAATAAAGCTGTTGTGCTTTCTTGAGTTTTAGAAGAAACATGAAAGATTGGACAGAGCTTTAAAAAGCACAACATGTTTGCTCCCAAAAATACTGAATCAGTTGGAAAAAAAAAAAAAAAACAACAACAACAGAGACTTAATTGGCTCTCTGTAGTTGTCTTTATAAGATTGAATTTGCTCGTTATTTCTTTATCGAGCGTTTCTGTTCCTTGGACTTGCGTTTAGGATGACCGTATCGAAGAATCGCTCCATTTAAGAGGTTTGTGCCTATTAAAATACAGACTATAAAGAGGATTATGCGGCCTCTAAATAGAGCAGCTGTACAATTCTCCACCTCAATAGTTTGAGGATTTCCACATAGTCTCAGAGGAGCTGGAAAACATTTTGTATGCAATCATAGCCGCAGTAGCAACAAGACAATTAGCACTACATACGGAGCCTTTACCTAATTCCCCGAGTAGGATTTAACTGCAGAAGCAGTGTTTGTTCTGGTTGCTCTCTTTGTCCCTGCCACTTGGAAGATTTAACCAATGTTTTTATATATGATCAATTCTAATCCAGTGCTATTTCCATTTTAAAATGTACATCTCACACCGATTGCAAACAACATTCTTCCCATTTTTGGAAGAGGTTCTTTCAGTTTCTGATAGCAAACGCCCCACAGATGTGAGTTTACAGTCTAATATCATGACGACACATTGTGCGTATTAGTTTTTCTAAAGCGTGCCCTTTAAAAATGAAAATGAGTCGTTTGTTGTTTCCTTTGGCGCAAGGAAATGATTTGAAGGGGGCAGCATCTGGCACATTTCAAATGTCTACCAAATGTGACAGATTGCTAGCCAAAATGTTCTCATTAAAGATTTTGCACCTTATTTTAGTGTCATGTTCACAATCTGTTGGCGTTCTTTGTTGTGAAACACATCAGCTCTTCAGAAGATTCATTTTAGTTTGTTTCAGATCTCACTTCAATGCTCTCAATGCGTGGTGTGAATTTCATCTGTGATTGCTTTCATTTACAGGGTGTGAAACAAATCCGATGTATATCGTATACACGCCAATACGAGTGTAAACAGGCAGATTGTAACATCTTTTGTACATATGTATAAAAAAAAAATGTCTGCCCGAGTAATGTACATAAACATATAAAACAACATTCAATACTACCCGCTGTAAATACAAACTATATCATGAGAAGACCATTAAATATGATGTAAAAATGCTACATCAGAAGAAAACAAAATAAACAAAAATGCCAAAGAAATGCTAAAAGTGGCCACCGGATTAATGCCAAGGTAAAATTTCATAATGTCATCACTTGGTGATGCTTGTGGAGTTATTTACCCGCAATTTGGGCGTCTGCACATGTAGGCTGCATTACGTCAATTTTACTTAATTTAGACAGATATGTGTCACTTGAATTGTACATGGAACCATTTTGGGGGTGGGGGGTGGGGGGGGGGGATACGAGCATTCCATTTGAATTGGGTGTTTGGTTCTGCAGCTTAAATGAAGTTATGTCACATTCCAAAAACCAGGGTGATTGAAAACTCGGAATTGTCTCTATTGTCACTTCTAATTAAAATAAGAGTGTTAAGTCATAGTTTGACAAAGCCTTTCACATCTCCTCATGATGCTGCCCCCCTTTGTGCAAATCAGCTACATTCTTAGTTAGATATATCATTCAATTCTACCCCTGAAATGAAATTAGTAATACAGTTAATAACAGTACTGTATTTGGTTCAGTTCTTTGTGCTTTTTTTGGGGGGGGGGGGGCGGGCGGGGACTCCATGAAATGATGATATTTGAAAGTACAGTAAGTGTGTCTAGCTTTATAGTTGACCTGCAATTGACTAGCAAACCATCCAAGCTCTACCCTGCTTCTGGTCCAACTCAGCTGGGATTGTCTGCAGCTCATGCATTTGCATGTATTGTAGACTATACATGCAATTGCCTCCATACCGACAAAACGTTTTGGTGTAACCGATTCTGACACACAGCTTCAAGATTGTACCAGAGTGGGTTGTCTCATTAGTATTCTTTGCTGTTCATTTCTAGCTCCCTCCCGGAGGCTGTCAGGTTACCACGTTTCACTACACTTGCACTTCTAGCCATTCAGTAAGATGTTGAACAGGGTTAGGGTCAGCCCACAGAATTTTAGCACCCAGTCTGCGAAGGTTCATTTTGGCTTGTCATGTGTGCTAGTTTATTATTAAAGAAAGTCACTTATGGGTTGAGGTTCAAACCCACTACCTTCAAAGTCTGGCATGACAGAATTTTTGTTCGTCTTGCCACATAGTGTGATATGTCCTACATCGTCCTTTGATCTGTTCTTCGGCATTGACCAATAGGAAGACAGTGCCCTCCTACTTATGATGAGAGACAATATACACCACAAAAAGCGACTTGACCAAAAGGGAAAATATTGGAACGTATACATTGCATTTCAATTTGCTAACTGCTACGTTTGCTAACTGCAAAGCTACTAGCCGATTACCAAACGTGGTGTCCTTATACAAATGCGTTTCTTCAAGTTCTTGGAGAATACACAATCAGTTCATACAGCCCTGTGCCCACCATACAGGAACGGGTCCATAGTCGACCCCTTTTTTTCTTTACTAAACATCACATTTATTGTTCAAAATCCCTGACGGGACACACCGAAAATCCCAAACACGGACCCATTCAGCAAGACAGGAACGGCTGTGCTGGTAAATCAGTTTTAGCAGTATCCCATATTGTTCCACATACCATGCTGATCCAACAGCATCCCATGCCGGTTCACTGACATTTCATGCTGGCCCACCAGCATCAAAACCAGCACAAACCAGCATGAACCATATACAGGTACCATTAAAGAATCCGTGCTGGTCAATGCTGGATTTTTTTAGCAGGTGATCTAGTTGATTTAAAACCAAAAGAGGGATAAAGACACTTTTTTTTTTTTTTTTTTTTTACATTCTTCCATTCCTTTCTCAGACCAATATGTTGAATTTCTTTAACAATGCACCCAATAAATGAAGGCCATGTTTCATCTCAGTGGGCAACTGACTGGCATCGTGCAGCGAAGCAGTCATAATTCACAGGTAATTGCCTGCTATTGCAGAACATTGACCTCTCTTTGAATTTCTCTGTGCTTGACTGTGTATTTTCTTTCCAAATGTGACTTTTTATGTCATGGCGCAGAAATAGATGGATAAGA